TAAAAAAGAAAAAAAAAAAGGGGGTAGCCCTCCGTGTGTGTGTCCATTAGGCCTGGCCCACTTTTGTTCTGTACAGCTGCTTTCGAATTGTACATATTGTGAGCGCATTTTTTTTTATACCCTGTGTAGCTATCCAGGTAACCAGATACCCAGCTAGCCGTTTTGCTTTTCTTCTTTTTATTTATTTATTTAATTATTTTTTTTTTTTTATAAAATACCTGAACGGTTCATACTTTTCTGAAACCTATTTTGTCCAACATGGTGTTTTCCTCCCATTTACTCTCCCACATTTTGATCCCGCCTTTCACTGTCATACCCATCTAACCCGTACGCCCCATCGCACTCTCTTTGATCCTTTTGGTAAGCATCCTCATCTTCATTTTCTTCATCCTGCTCCTGCTGATTTTGCATATTTTGAATAAATTCCTCCTCGTCTTGATCCTTTTCTACATCGCTATCCATCTCATCTACATCCGGACTTGGTGCCCCATCCTCGCCGTCTCCCTGAGCACCTTGATCATCGTCCCCAGCAGCACTGGTTTCATTTTCCCCCGTGTGGAAAATGTCAATCCAGCTGGTAAGGTAGAGCAGAATTTCATTAAAACTGCGCAACGTGTTTAAGGTATACTTCTTGTCAACACTGTAAATAAATGGGTAGTCGAACTTTTTGTAGTAAAAAAAATGCTGTACATCTGAGGAAATTACGTGATTTTGTTTATCTGTATGTTCATCCAAGAACATGAAGAGACAGGACCTTTTAAAAGAGGGAAGGTCGTAAAAGTTCTCTTCCTTTTTCATGAGAAACACATAATTTTTAAAAATTTTTTTCATATCGTATAAGGGCACAAATTTTCTGTTAAAAATGTGTGAAAATTTTACATCATCTAAGTTGACATATAGGTATTCTTCCTGTTGATCGTCTTTTTTTTCTGTGAGCAGATTTTTAAATAAATTGTCCTCCTCTCCGTTTAAAAAATGGTAAAAGAACTTTGCGCTTGTGTTATCCAAGCAAATCACAAACAGGTTCTTTATGTCAAAGTAGAACAGCATCAACATGAGTATCCTTTTTAGAATGGAGACATTTTTTGGGAAACCTTCTTCACTGCCATAGTCCAGTTGCGGCCATATGGAAAGGCTCTGTGTTAGGTACGAAATTTTATCGCAAATATTTCTCACATGAACGTTCAGGTGCTTGTCGTTCGCGCTGAGGATGAGGATGCCTTTGTCTGTGTTGATGTTTATCTCCTTGACGGGGGGGAGGTGCTCCTTTTCCTGGTCCCGCTTCGTGGACAGGTTAATGACGATGGATTTGTCTTCGTACTTGAGGAAGCCGCGGTCGCTGAGCTTGGGGACACACACATAGGCGCAGCGCTCGTCGGCGAAGGTTTCCGCCTGTTCGCGGTGAACCCCCCCAGGGCTGTTGCTGCGGTTTTCCCCGATCACGTTTGGACACTCTTCTCCGGTTACATTGGTACCCCTTTCGCCACTCACGTCGCTCTGCTTTTCACTGCTCACGTTGCCGCATTCATCGAGGGCTGGCTTGCCCAAGCGGCCATGCCGAATTCGCCGCACGAACGCCCTCATCTCTTTAAACAACAAGGGGCAATCGTAGTTGTAAAAATTGAAGTCATTGACTCGTAAACTGTTGAGGAAGGTGTTCCTGTCGAGGAGGTTAAAGACGTTAAAATTTTTTAAGTCGTTAAAATTTGTCTGCATTTTGTAGAGTCTTTGATTAACGTCAATGATTTCTTTGATGTTCTCCATGGATAGTTGTGTGTCTATCTGCTCGAGGCTTTCCGGGTCGTCGCTGCTCGGTTGGAGGAAGCTAACACGGGCGGTGTTGTCTTTACGTGGGTTATTGGCCTGCGTCATGGGGCTTATCTGCGCACTTTTAGGGATTGATTCCCCGTTCGGCTGGTCATTCGTGTTATCGGTATGGTCATTACACACGCCATCGCTGTGGTCGTTAGACACATCATCACTGGGGTCTCCGCTAGCCTGGTCATCCCCCCCCTCCTCGTAGACCACCGAAACGTGCTTGTTAATGGGCTCCGTTCGCGGTTCCTTTTTCTGCTTTAAGGCTTGAATTGCCGTCTTGTAGTTTCGCAGGTATCGATATTTTAAGTATATAATATGCCTGTACATCCTGTTTCGCAGGACGTGAAATTCCTTTGCTGAAATGGAATTGACAAAGTTTGCGTCCAGCTTGATTAGGTACCTGCCAAGGCTGTCGTCAATGTAGAGGTCGTCATGGCGCCCCTGAGTGTGGCCGTCGCGAACGTAGCCGTCTTCAGTATATCCGTCGACAGCGTATCCATCGTCAACATAACCGTCGCCAACGTATCCCTCGTCTGTCTCGTCCCCGTTCTTTTGTCCCTCCCTCTCCAGGAACAAGCTAACTTTGTTGTAGTGGTCGTCTTCATCTTGTTTCTCCCCTTTTAACTCCTTTTTCAATAGGAGGCTCAGCACGTCATAATTTATGTTGCACAAGCTGAGGAAATTATTTCTTTTTAATTTTTCTATTCGCTTAATTTCTTCCTGGGGGGTCGATTCGCGTGCGCTGTTTTCTTGCGAGTTCTCTCCCCCAGAGGGGCTCCTACATGTGTCTTCCCCTTCTTGGTGTGTACTATGGCTTAACTGGCGATTGCTTCCCCGCTCGTGGCCCCCTGATTGTTTCTTCCCTCGCCCTAATTCGCCGCCTATTTGGCTGCCCACTGGAGAAGCTGCTTCCCTGCCTACCTTCCCATTTGCTATGTTTGCCTTCTTTTTCCTTTCCTCCTCCTCGTAGTCATAAATAATTTCGTTGAGAATCTCCTCGTATTCTGAATTCCTTCCTTTGTCTAGGTAGCCATAGTTGTCCCCCGCGTCATGAAGTTTGTTTTCCTGCCCCCTGGTAGCCTTCCTTACCTTGACGCGGTACAGCGTTTGTCTCCTGTCGCCTCCGTCGAGGGGCAAGTTCCACAGGTAGAACAGGCATAGGGCATTTTTCATGTACGCGTTTGGGGGGTGGCGATGTGATGTGATGTTACGTGTGGTTATGTGACATCTGGTTATGTGCCGTGTGGCTATGTAACGTGTTGCTACGTCGTGACCCACCACGTGGTAGTGTTGCATCACTACGTCATTACCATGACGCTCCTACCAAACGAGCTTCACTCGCGAGCGTAACTGGGGAAAGCCCCGTGCAGAGGAAATGCTGGCGTGTAGAAGCCTATTTGGGGGGGCACTGAGGACAAGGCCATAAAAAGTGGTCTCCCCATTGAGTCTCCCCCTCTGCCCTCCCTGCACATTCGTGGTACACAAGGTGGGGGTGGAGGGGGTCCACAAAATTGGCAATTTAGAAACATATAAGTTATGAATGGGTAAAAGGAGAAGCAAAAGGGATAGAGATAGAGATAACGATAAAACAAAGTGAACATGTACACTTGGACCTATGCTTGCCGAGGCCCAAGCGTGGATAACCCTAAGTGCGGTGCACGGCTGCTTAACCACACTCGTCATTTCTGCTGCAAAAAAATTGGGTCCCCCCCCGCTGCGGCCAGAATGTTAACATGAGCATTCGGTGAACATCTTCCGGGTGATCTGTTTTTTTTTTCTTCTTCTTCTTTCCTTTTCAGCTATCCATTTTGACCGCTTGGCGGGGCGATGGATTTGTTACCGCTTTGCAGGGCGGTAGGCCAAAAAGGGTGTAGGCAGCGAAGCATGTAACGCGGTGGGTAACGGGGCAGGCCGAGTGTCCCCTCGTAACTACCAAATTGTAACTACCCACTGCTAGTGGCACAATTTCTGTCACGTGTGAACCGTCGCCGCTGATTGAACGATGCTCCCCTCGCCTACCCGCCAACACGCGTCTTCTCCGGAGCGGTGATAACACAAGCGACGAAACGGATCAATCAGCAGAGTTCTAGTTGCCAGAAGAAAGAAAGAGAAAGTGGTACCAGAAGAAAAACATGGGGGCATTATCGCTACCCACAAAAGGGAGACGCCTCTACAGTATAAAAATTATTGACAGGGTGACAAAGAAAAGTGTAAAAATATATGAGCATTCGTCTTTTGGGCGGAATGGAAAGGGAAAGAAATCGGACGAGGAATGTCCACATCCCAATGGTGAGAGTACGTTTCCTACTGATGGAGGACTTACGTGGGGTGAGAAGTACAGAGGGACACCCATGGTGGGCGTCAAAAGTGATGTGTGCAGAATGTCCACAAGGAAAACTTCCATTTTTTATGAAAGCGAAAGGATTATTAAGTGCGAAAGTGGAGCAGGCGGCGACGGAGCTATCAGCTTCAAGAAGTTTAAACGGAAGGTGTTGGGACCGTTAGGCATACCAAATGGGGGAAAAGGGGGAAACGGTGGCGACGTGTACTTATGTTATTGGGACCGTGAAGGGGGTGGACCTCTCACCAGGAGGAGGAAGCGAAGAGGTGAAGACCAACATGTGTATATTAACAACTTGGAAGAGTTACCCTGCGTCATTTCGGCCACCAGGGGAGAGAAAGGGAAAGCTAATCAACTGAGAGGGAAAAATGGCATGAGTGTTTTTTTACACGTCAACAAGATGTGTCATGTGTATCGACTGTTTCCGCGGGGGGGGGAAGACGCTACCGGTAGAGAAGGGGCGGAGGCTACATGTAGAGGGGGGGAAGAAGCAACGTGTAGAGAGGTGCCACACTCGGAGTGTACAGATGTCCCTTTGCACATTTTAGGAGGACACACATACGATGCACAGGGGACCCCCTTGGGTGATGAAAGAAGGGACGTGCTAATGATAGGGAGGAACGACCAATGGGCCAGTCCCCACGTGAAGGGAGATCACCACAATGTAGTGGCTTACAAATCGCAGTACGAAGACAAAGTGTACAAAGTGATAAAAAAAGAAGACCCCATTTATGTGAAAAAAAATATGCACATTTTAAAGCAGCTAATCAGGATGGACAAACAAGTGGGCGGAGAAACCTACCTCGGGATGTTAAGTCCAAGGAACAATTCACTTTTACTCTCCAAAGGGGGAGAAGGAGGTAAAGGGAACAACATGCAGGATACCTACACTTATGGGAAAGGAGCAACGGGGTCTACTTCCTACATAAGGATCGTTTACCGATGCATTAGTGACACTTGCCTTTTGGGGTTTCCCGGATCGGGGAAGTCTACTCTGCTCTCTTTGATCGCTCCGAAAATACACACGGTGAATAACATGTATGTACTGAAGAAGATTTTCTTCACAGATAACTTCCAGGTATCCGTCGCGGACTTTGTTGGCGACTGCACAGGTGGAGGCGGCATCTCACATGGAGGCGGCACCTCAGATGGAGGCGGCATCTCAGATGGAGGCCTCATATCGGATTCAAGTCGCACACCAGATGGAAGCCGCAGAGCAGAGCAGAGCCCCCCCTTCCACATCAGCCCCAACGTGGCTCACCACCTGGAACTCATCCACCTCCTCGTCATCGTCCTGGACATGCATCGCGAACTGATCCCCCAGTTTCGCGCCATTAGGTGAGCAGGGGAGGGGCAAGACGCGTCCGTCACTTGACCCAATTCACCGCGTCGGTCACGTAACCCAATTCACCGCTTTACTTCCTCACCTTAGGGAGGAACTGCGCCGGAAGGATGAGCGCCTATTCCTCAAGCCATACATCGTTGCCATAAACAAGTGCGACGCCCATTTCGCGGAGAAGATAAAGCGGGCGGAGGAAGCCTACCGAGACATAAAAGCTGAGGCTGGGGACGACGTCCCCGTTTTTTTCATCAGTGCCAAATACGCAATGGGAATTGACAAATTCGTTACACACCTGCGGACATGTGTGCAGAAGTTGAAGCAGGCCATATGTTGAAATGACCAGTTAATGCTTACGCAGTACAAACAGGAAAAAAAAGGCAAAAATAAAATAAGATAAAAAAACAAAACCCCTTCCACAGAACGATGGAGGAAATCAACAGATTAGTGCCATTTGACACGTCTCTACACGTGTACACATTGATGCGCATCCAAAGAATGATCAACGTCGCACAATATTTTGGCTAGCTGTATGAAGAAGTCAGGCAAAAAAAAGCAAAAAAAAAAATCAAACGCAATTTAACAAATGGTCCCCGTCCCCCTGGGAATTTACCAAAGGGGGAGGGGCAGCGCAGTGGTGAGGAAGGCATCAAAAATTAAAAGTAAGAAATGACGGATAACAAAAAAAGGAAGTTACTAAAAAAGGAAATTACTAAAAAACGAAGCTACTAAAAAACGAAGCAACTAAAAAACGGGGTAACAAAAAAACGGGATAACAAAAAAATGGGATAACAAAAAAATTACAACAGACACGTAGTCGGTATGGACAGCCGCGATGGCCAAGTCTAGAGGTATAGGTCACTTCCTCACCGCGTGTGGTGACCAACCCCAACGCTCCCTAGATTTCACTGAGGGAAGCCTGGTCCCTCACTTGGTCCCGGATTTGTCCCCCCACTTTGAACGCCCCATTTTCCACAAAGCTCGGGTCCGCATTTATTCTAGTCTTCCCCTTGACCAGGGACGAAAATTTCACGTACTCGTTCGAAGCAGGAGGCAAATCGACGTTTCCCCTATTTTGGTAGGAGTAATTTAAACTAGCATTACAAAACTTGTTTGTCTCTCCAGGGAAATATTTTCGGGGGAATTGATCCAAATAAATGTTCCGAATTTTGCAAATTTTGCCAAAGTTGGAAGTGCCTTCATTCGTCAGTGGTGTTCCCGTGTCTGGTGCGCAATTGAAAAACTTCCTGAGGTGTGGCTTCTTCACCTCCCTGTGGTTTCCATAGGACGTTTCTACATCTCCGTATTTGATGAAGCCGCTTCTCTTATTTTGATGGTACGGAAAGTAACTGCTTTGGAGGAAATGATTTTTCGCGCCTCCGTTGTGTTTGTGGAGCACCGTGTCAGGAGTTCTTCCCAAATCGGTCACATGGTTGCCGATTTTGTCTACCATTGCGTAGGTGCCGTCAGTTGTGCGTCTTTGTCTTTCTGCTGCTGTTTCGATTTCTGTTCCTTTTTCTGTTTCGATTTCTCCTTCTCCTTCTGTCTGTTGGCATCCCTCCAGGGGGTTAAAAAACTGATGGTTATTCCTCTTCCTTTCCTGACTGAACCCCACATTGGGGTCAACATATTTATTCCTTTTAAGTATGCTCCTGCTCTTAAAAGCATGTTCGCTTCTGTCATTTCTGTAGTGAAAGAAGCTGCTTCCGCTGTTGCTACCGATGCTGCTTCCATTTGGGGTTTGTAGCTTTTCCTGTCTTGTCGTGCTCATCGTAGGAATAACATTTCGAAATTTCTTCCCCTCATTTCTGGGGGAGAAAAAGAGGCCTTCTGCTGTGACATGATTTTTCACGCTCAAAAGATCTTCCAGTTGTGTATTAATTTCAATTTCGTTTTTTTTAAAAAATTTCCTTTTCATGTCATTTTCCCTCTTGTATCCTTCCCGTAGGTTGGTGCCTCCCCCATAAGACCCAGTGGCATACGTGAATAATGAGTTCCTGCTTTCGAAGGGGTTGTACTGCCTCTTCCCTGGCTCTATCTCCCTATCGTAGCACTTGTAGGTACCTCTCCTTTTGTCGCTCGTGGGGTAGTTGCGCTGGTGGGTGTACTGGCGAGTGTACTGCTGCGCATAATGGTGCGTGTACTGGGGATGGTACTGGTGGCTATACTCACTCTGCGTAAGGCTACTAGCGGGGGTGTCTCCTCTGTGGTTTTCCCCTACATGCTGTACCTCGTCACTGATGGGGCGATACGTGAGCGATTTGGTTAACCTTCTGTTTGATTCTTCCACTTGTCCGCTTAGGGGGTGAAGCAGCCCATTCGTCTTCACCTCAGCACCTCCGCCTACACTTTCTTGGCCAATCAGATTCGTGGTGTGGACATAGCAGCCGTTTTCAGCTCTATCCGGGGTGTGTCTCATCTGTGTGTTGCTGTCTCCACTGTGGTAATCGACGACCGAGTTGCTGGGGCCCGAATTGTTGCTCCCCCCGTTGTTGTTATTCGCGACAGTCGTGGTTGTAGTGGTAGTAGAGTTACTGTTATTGTCGGCGTTTCCTCCCACTCTGTTCAGGTCGCAGTTCATGTAGTCCGTTTTTTTTAAGTAAGTACAATTGAGAGCATCGTGTATGTCTCCTCCCGCAGTATTATCCTGTGCCGATGCTTTCTCACTCGAAAGGCGGCCACTGCTTGGGAAGCCATTTTCTCCCTTCACATGGTACAGCTTACCATTGGAATGGTTTGATGAGTCCTGGTCCTGCTCCGAGGGTTTATCCTTCGTTTTGTGAACTGCTTCGTCGTCTTGGGGACCTACGCATTGTTGGCTCATCAGATTGTTCGTGCCATGTTTGGGGGGTCCTAACAGATCGGCGTCTTTTTCCCAAGGGGTGGCCTCAACAGAGAGGCTCTCCACCTGTTCCCCTTCGAAAGTGTTTCCCCCCTGGTTAGCCGCGCTGCTCTTAAAAGGTGCCACATCCTCAGCGAGTTTCTCTTGAATGGCGTAAATGGACAGGTCCCTATCTGCTTGCTCGTTTTTATTAACGACCATTTTGCTATCTGGACTGCTCGCAAGTTCTGTCCTCCACACGTTGATCTCCCCACTGTGCATCTCTGTATTTTTTCCTTCGGTCAAATTATAAGTATAAAAATGAGGGTGCTCTCCTCCCATGTAGAGTTGTTCTTCACTTGTTCCCTCTGGTGGAGTACACCTTTTGTCGACACTGCATGCAGTGGTGGTGCTCCCCATTGGGGGCACTCCGTATGGGTCCTTCTCATCCATGTAGCTATTGTCTGCATCGGATGGACTAGGTTCACACATGTTGAGGTTGAGGTCATTCGATTGGCAGTAGTCTCCATGAGGGATAATTTCCTCCTCCCCTTGGGGCCTGTACAGCTGCCCTTTTGCATTTTCTCCTGCCTGGGAAGTATCCTCCGAAATGCTGCAATATTGATCAGGGATGCTATTTTGAGCAAGTTTGCAATCGCTCAGTTGGTTTATCTCTCTGTCGAGAAGGCCGAGGTGTGTTTCGTTTTGTCTGTACTGCCCGTTTTGTTTCACATTGGTAGTTGCGGAAGGGAGGGGATAGTTTGGGGGATTCACTTCGGACTGAACTGCAGACTGCACTTTGGACTGCACTGCGCATCGCAGTGGGGACCGCGCATGAGACCCCCCTTCGCGAAGAACCACTTCCCCCCCGTGCGCCACCGACGAAGAAGAGTCCCTAATAAAGCCTCTCGTTCTTTTGCCCAAAGGATAGCTCGGAGGAAGATTTCCCCCTTGGTTCTTTTTCATATATGGGGAGTAATTCTGCCTGACTCTGTTCAGGTCAAAGTGGGACTCACCCGAGTAGTCGTCTTCTCTCATCGAATTGGCAACATAGTCCGCACTGGTGAAAGCCCCCTTCTCGTAAAAGCCATTTCTGTCAAATGGTCTAAGAAGTTCTGATCCCTCCATATCTACCACAGTGCGAGAAGAATAACAGAATTTAGGACCCATCTTAAAACGGAGAAATTTATTTCCTGGTGATGCTGTGGGGACATCTCTAGGAACAGTTGCCATGGAGGGATTATTCTTTAGGAAGACAACCTTTGTGTCATTCGACTTGCCCTCATGATCATTCTGTTGAGAAACATCCTCATCGCTAATTCTGCTCCTCCGAATATCGTTGTTGTTATTTCCTTGCTCGAAAAACAAGTGATAGTTTTTTTTTTTCTTTGTTTTGTATTTTTTAATTAAGGTAAAAATGTTGAGTAGCGGGGGGAGTGTTACTATGTTTGGAGTTGCAACATGGGTGCTGTCCTTCTGCGTGTCATCAGACACTGGTGAGTAGTGCCAGATGTTACCTTGCTGATTGTCACTCTCCTCCTCGGGGGGTCCACGCGGATCCTTCTCACCTGCGAAAATGGCCGTTATTCCCCTCAACTTCTCAGCGTGGGCATTCTCCGCGTCTAGGTCCATGCCGTACAAAATACTGCGAAGGATGCTTCCTCCAGTGGGGGTCTCTCCACGCGAATGTTTCGTAATTTCTGCTGCTGCGTCTTCACCTCTACTTGGGTTTTCTTCCTCTGCTGCTGACTCCATTCGTGACAAAATCGAAAGGTATATGTCGTTCCTCTGCTTTGGATCTTCCCTTGTGGAGACCTCCTGCTGGTCTCCAAAAAATTGCGCTACGTCTTCCATGTGGAGAAAGGTACACCCATCATCCTCCTGGTTCTCCAGGGTCATTTCTATGCTTTCCCGGATGAACAACGGGAGGTTGTTCAAATTTCTGTAGCTGAGATATTCCCTTCTGTTGATTCCCCTCGGTTGATTCGCTTCTCTGCTCATTTGCCATTTCGTTGGGACGTTGGAGCGTTCTACCTCTTCGGTGCAAACGGGGCGACAGTGGTGGGAGGTTTCTTCGATTCGGTCTGTCTTGTCGCTTTGATCAGTCTTGTCGCTCTGATCAGTCTGCTCGGTCTGGTCCGTTTGGTGCTCCTTAGTGGAGAATAATATCCCCCCTTTGGTAACTGACTCATCTGGTGCGTCCCCATGTCCTTTGCTCACTTTGGAATTTTCACCCATTTGAATCTGTTGGTTTTGTCCTGTTTGCTTTTCCTTATTGACTGCTGAGTTTGATGGTGTGCGAGCTTTCCCGCTTGGTGGGGCTCCCGTGTTTTCACTCCCCCTGTGGGGGGTAGGCAGCACATTTGTGTGGTTTCCTCTGGGTAGTCCAGGGCTCATCTGAGCCGCTATTTCCACCACGACTTCTTCTTGTTCGTCCTCTTTCTTCTCCTCTTCCTCTTCTTCTTTCTCCTCCTCCTCCTCCTCCTCTTCCCCCTCCGCGCTGCAACTACCAAACTCGTGGTGCTCGATGAACTCGAGGAAGGAGCCTACATTGATGGTCTCCTTCTGGAAGATCCTGCAGTTGTCCGGGGTCCTGTACTTCTTATGCTGAATGTGTGTCCGGTGCATGTTGTTGTTAGGGATGTACAACTTGTAGTGCTTACTAAACGGTTTGGCTAGGAGCAGATTCTGCAGTTTCTTGTAACCGAAGTGCAGGCTGTTTAGCTCCTTCTTGAACTGGAGAATGAACTGTTGCTTCAGTTGGGCCAAGACGAGTCCATTAGGTTTGTGATCGACCAGCAGAGAGATGATTCTCATGACTTCTCCTAATGTCTCACATAGCTCATAGTTAAAATTTTTGATCTTTGGGTACAAATCATCTGCACTTTTTTCGCATGCCGAGACGGGCAGGAGGATCCTTTGAGAGTAAACAAATATCCCTTTATGTATAGCTAGCTGTACTAGGTGGATAATATCTCCTAGTCTCTTCGATTTGAAGTGTTTAATTTCGTTCTTCAGTTTGGCTGCGAATGCGTACCTGCCTCCGTTAAACATGTAAGACTTGAGCTTCTTGGTGCTGGATGAACAGAAGATACACTCGCTGCCGTCTTCGCTGCTGCCGGGGTTGGCAGTCGAGGCGGCGTTGGTAATGGCGTTGGTAGCGGCGTTGATAGCGGCGTTGGTAGCAGCGTTGGTAGTAGCATGGACTGTCACTTCGTCCGCTACTTCGGTAGGCTCCTCCTCCATGGCCGCTTTGCTGATCACCGCGGCGAGCGCGACGCTGGCAGGCGAGAGCAGCTCCATGCTGCCGCCACTAACCGATCTGTCCTCTCCAAAGGGGGAGTCCTCCTTTCGCGAAGAAGCCGGAAGCGCCCGGTCGCTTTGGTCAAGCAGTTTCCCTGATAAGTTGGCATCTTTTGCATCGTTTCCATCATTTCCATCATTTCCATCATTTCCATCGTTTCCATCATTTCCATCATTTCCATCATTTCCATC